TATCGCCATCAGTCGATATTTAACATGGGTAATATAGATAAGTTTTCAGCAATCTATTTGGAAACATTCAACTCAATATTTAGTTTCGGAATCCCGTTTGTAATTCTGAGGAATTCGTTTATCGATCGTGTTATTTTGGAAAGTTAAAAATCGATCGGAAAATATAGAGATATAATATTATAATTTATAAATTATAATGTATAATGTGTGTACAGTGATAGTAGAAAAAATACACACACACGCGTGTACGTAATAATAATGTGCTTACATGTGTGAAGTGTGAATATCGATGATCTTCATCGATTGCGGTGCAGACGTGCACTGCGCTAGCAAGTCGAAAAACCGCAAGACCCGATCGACCGATTGAGACGCGGTGGTAAATCCCATTTTTAACGTTTATCGTGTGTTATGGGCTTGTGGCTAGTACACGTCTCTTCGTACTCTTGAACACTCAATATTATATATATATACATAAGTATGAAGACGACGCGTCCATGAGTTTATATATATGTATAATTTTTTTTGTTTCCACGGCCCAACAGGTAAGAGGCGTGTCAGCCGTTAATGGATCGGGTTTTCGAGAAAGACGGAGAGAACGCTACGGGGATATATAGATATATATATATATACAATAGTAATAATAACCGGTACTTATGGCATAGAGAGTGCATTATGAGATATTTCTTCGGACGACATTATATATACGGGCGACCGTAATAAGCATTTCCATTATCCTACGTGATAGATCCCCTCCTCCTCAAATCACACACACACTTACACACCCCGTGGTTGACGGTGCGCACTTTAGAAGGATTCAATTTTTTTTTTCGTTACCATTATTTTTTTTTTTAATGCATTCGACGTCGCGGTTAAAAAGACGCGTAACACGAAAATCCCGTCTGTCAGGGTGAGAGGAATTTGTGCCGCAGTTTTCTCCAAAATACTCACAAATGTAAAACAATGGAAATTGAAAGCACAATATTTTAGTCGATTTTTTTCGTGACGGTGTGTAACAGTCAATTAATAATATTACATACAGTCAAATGTGTTTCAAAACATCATTAAATCTGTTATATTATACAATATAGTAGGTACTCCTCGAGGTTATCGCTAATTAGTGATCCAATGCGTGTGTACCTGCACTTCGGCACAATCGGACGCGGGCGTCCGCACGAAGATTTGATGGCTGAACACTACATGGACTGACAGATAGTGAGTGTTATTAGGTTTTTTTTCTTCTTCATCGGTAATTTGCCAACGTCGTCCCGCGGCCCTCTCAACTTAACGCGTATTTGACGCCGCAGATCGACGTGTTTGACTCATCATCCGACGGCGCGCACGCCCGCTTTGTGCTCCGAACAACTCGGCCGCCGTCAGAAGGCTAATTACCGGACGACAACAGACCATCGACCGGTTGATGTATTATGTGTTTCGCGTAGCTGTAGCACACATAAATACCACATCACTATGACATGGCTAATATTATCATATTATATACATGATAAGTAGGTAGCTGGTATAAACCAGATATGGTATACTCATTACGTTACGTTAATCATAACCGTATTTGACGACTAAAAGTCCTATTTACAACCGTCAAATCGATTTTCTAACCCCTGTGTTCGTTCGACGGGATATAATGATTCTAAATACCAGGGTGGTGGTGCGTCTCGTCTATGGGCAGCAACAGTAAAGTAGTAAGACGTCAAATCATTAACTACATCGTATAGTTGTACTTCTATTATAATAATAACATACAGTGTAAAATGGTATTGTGTTGTGTACGTTTTCTCTATTGATAAATTGTTACAAGATACGTAGGTACTATACAGGAGGAACATACGAAAAAAAAACTCGTCCGCGTAGCAGCGGCCCGCATAATAATAATATGTAACCCGTGTCCGATCGATGCGGTCGCTTACAGATTTTCCTGGCAGCAGATTGAATGAGAATAGTCATAATAATAACGAGAGTGAAAAAACCGTCTTAGTCATTTTGTGGATACGGTGCCTGTTTTTTTTTTATGTAAATCGGATCGGCGGCGACAGAGGTGTCAACCCGCATCGAATCGTAGCGCGTGTTTGCCTGTCGCAGTGCGTTTGGCACCGAACGCGCGGGGACGTGTCTTATGATTAAAAAATGTATGTATCATTATTATATTGTTATTGTGTAGCCGTAGTGTGCCGTTGTCCAGAATTAATTCAAAATTTTTTTTACGCGAATAAAAAATAAAACCAATCTCTCGCATCAACTATACAGGACGTTACTCGGCGAATATGCGCTCGATAGCGTACGCCAAAATCCGAACGGACGTCGCGTACAATATTCATTAAAATAATAATCTATGAGTATAGATAACTATACAAATCGTCGGTAATGGAGTAACGATGCGACACAGTACAGGTGGTGTCCGTCGTCGTATATGCGCGACATCTCTGCAGTCAGTGGCATTTCTTCGAGGCGACCTATGCTCGCTGGAAGAAGGAAAAAACTGGTCTTAGAATAGAAAAATGAGAATACACATACAATTGGAACACTGGTATTATTACCGCAGTTGGGTTTTCAATACGACGACATTGGTATTATAAACGCGGTGCGTGTGTGTTGTGTAATCGGCGCACCGGGCATGCAGTAATGGACCGAGAGAATTCCTCGGCCGACCTCGTGAGAAAAAGTTTGAAGACTATTCGGTCGACGCCGGGTATAAGAGCTTCTAACTCGTATTTTCATCGTTTCGGAATGGTGTAGGAAAAAACAATAATAATAATAATAATAATAATAAATAATACGTCGTCGTCGAATGTAGCTTGTGATAAATGATGATAACAATAAAATAACATAATCTAATAGACTACTCCGCGACTTATTCGGCTGCGGGTATTGTTGCCGGCGAGACCAAAGTGGTGTCGAAATCGCGTCGTTTTGATTTACCGATTTCGATACGTGTCACGCGCTCGCTCGCCAATTGCCAATTTTTTTTTTATTATTAAGTAGTCGTCGATTGCATGTGGTTCGAGCATATTATATTATAAGTACTGCATATTATATTTTTATATGTCCAAAAAAAATAATAGCCGTATAGTATATTTATTTATGTATATAAATATATATAATATATATTATGCCGCCGTCACTTTCTCCGCCGCCCGACGATTATATTTTTTATCGCTCGCATTTCGTAAAAATCGCGCGTATATTGATCATTTTTTTCTCGATAGATTTCTCCACAATAATATGATATTATAATGTATATTTATACACTGTACATATATTTAGCGAACCGGGTGACGTACGCGAAAAACAGTGGTCTGATCGCAGTGATTTCAATAGTCGTTCAGATCGTAACCGATTCGTGTTTTTTTTTCCTGATGCGCGCTCTACATTCACACCCATTGTTGTCGTCATTGTCGTCGTATGCAAATAACTCGTGTGGTGATTTTCGATGAAAATTCTTTAGCCATGCACATTCAAAAAACCAGTCTGGTCAGAACTGGTTACCGCCGCCATTCTTTGAAATCGACCGGCTTTAAGTTTTAGGCTTATGGCAATAATTAGATGAAATCCTGGTCAAAATTTTTACCGTTTAAAATGGGATTAATTTCATAAACCAAACGGGTGTGTCTGAGTATTGCTTCCGTTTTTCTGTCGAGAAAATCTTTGAATTATAATCTCGTTACGCACTTGTATCAATCACGAGGATGCTGTGTGTTAAGTAATATTATAAATATTATAAACATTAAGACACGCAATTGTTAGTTATAAGAGGTACAGCGACTGTTAATTAATTGGTCGGCCAATGTTAGGGCACTAAATCTTCAAATAAGATTTCACTACTCGATCATACGCGTGCGTATCTCTGGGTTTTAATAAAATTGATTCGTGATAAAAACTAGGAAGACGTTGAAAAAAAAGCTTTTACTAGCCACCATCGCCGATTAACAACAAGATACGTTCATAATTAGAAGAAGACATACCTATACATTTACCTAATACTAATCCTATATTTTTATACCTATCTGCACCATTACACCGTCAACTGCAGCGACCTATCACTTTCCCGCCGCGCGCGATTGCGTTTGTAGAAACTCTTCGTCATAATAATCGACCGATCGTCGTCGTAACAATAGGAAATGACTTCGGTTGGAACGTGAGCAACGATAGCAATAACATAATCGATACCGTGTAATAATATAACCACCGCAATCGACTCGATATTCGTACCTACCTACGCCAAGTCTTCTATAGGTAATATGATACGTACCTACAATATCCATATTATAATACTGCACACGTTGTAGACATTTGCATACATTACGTATGTATGTTACGTTCGTTTACGTCGGTAAACGCGTGTTTTATTTTCTCTCTTAGTTTTTGGACATTCCAACTAAGACTAATGGGCTTAGGGGATTTCTCGTTTTTTTTTTTTATATATATTATACAGCGAGTGTGGGTAACGGACGCGTCGTCGTCATTATTATTTTATTTTTGGTTTTGGTGCCGAACCACTGACGGACGGACGAATTAGCTGCCGGGTGATTTATAACGTGTTCGAAATCACGACCGGTTCGACTGGCAATCAATTCTCGCCTAGGGCGCGCATGCTCACAGCTGCAGACGCGCTTGTGATAAATACGTTCCTCGCCGCTATACTTCTCCTTGCTTACCATGACGTATAATATATATATAATATAGCCGACGAATTTTTACCGTTCGTCATTATCATAATAATTTTATACACATTTAATCAACGTCGTCGTTTTCACGTCGTAGCGCGTTCCTACGCCGATAGGGTAGTTTTAGGGGGTTATAGCTGATGACGAAGCCCTAGCTATGTGGCAGCGACGGCAACGCACACATAAGGTTTGACGCGACACCGGTGAAAAATAATACGCGATATTTCTGTCCCCCGGTGAGAGCGCTCAACTATACATTATTTGTGTATATATATGCAATATACCAACGGTTATTATAAAATGAATTTCTTTCTCGTGTCACAGGCGGCGTTCACCAGTGGATCAAAATCTTTACATGAAGCACTCAGTGGCAAAGCCTACTTCCGATCGGTAACCGTGATGCTGCCGCAAAACTGGCCGGATCACTGTGTCGGTCATCTACGTGGTATTGTTAGCAGCCAGGGAGAGACACCAGACGTGCACGTCGGACTTCCGCACCCGGTTCATGGAGATGCCCTGTGGACTCAACAGTCGCAAGGCTGCGGCCGTCCTGGCGATGGTATATACTCTAGTTACCGGCTGTTCCAAGAGCCCCGAGAATTGGGCAAAGAGCTGACCAAGCAATGGGCAAAATACCGATATGGTGTATTCGACGAGGTTGGATACGCCGGTGATGCGATTTATCCGTCGTGTTACACATCCGAAACGTCTTCGGCTGAGGTCAATGGATGTTCTGATAAACCCATTTCCCAGACTAGGTGCGTATGCGGCGACTGTTGTCTTAAATGATTTTGTTTTAAAAAGCGTGATTTTATTTTTATTTTTTTATTTTCTTAGAGCGTGTGATTCCATCAACACGACAACATTGGTCCACCCGGAAGCAAAAACTTCACTCATGTTTTCCACGGCACCTCAAGTCACCAAGTTCTGCGACGCTTCCAGCCATGACCGTTATGCGCCCACCAAACAAAATGCACTCTGCGGAAGACGGAGCATCATGGAAATCATAAACACTCATCCGGACTTTACCAAAGGGTAAGTGATTGCCAAGCATGTACATTGCAGTATTTTAATACGCATATAAATATATTTTTATTTTTTTATTTTTTGGAGAATGTTTTTGAATTTTTATCATTGTGTGTTTAGTGTCAATTTGTCGGGAAATCAAAATTTGACGCCGACGTTCATCTTCAAGAAAGAAATGCTCACCAGATATGTAGTGGTCATCGAAGACACAAAAGATATGATGGAAAGGGTATGTACCTCAAAACATTTTACGTATAAATCCTAGAATTATTAGGATAATTATATAATATTATTATTTTAATATTGGATTAATAATTATAATTGTTACTATGCAGGAATCTTGGAGTTTTTTGCGATTGGCTATTCGTAAATGGGCTGTTCATGATCTTCCAGCCAATACGGAAGTTGGACTAGTATCGGCCAATGATTCTTCAGCCAATCGTCTGCATGGTCTGAGTAGATTACATACATCGGACGCTAGAGATCAAGTTGCATCAAACATCCCATACTCTACAGGAGACTCGAGGTTACCAGCGTGTTTAGCCTGTGCGTTAAAAGAAGCTATACAGGTGATCAATCGTTCCAATGAGACTTCCAGGACAAATCTCTAAAAACAAAATTTACTAATTTTTGTATTGTATTTTCTCTTTACAGATGTTGGAAACCCGCACTAGCAATAGTGGTCCCGCCAGTTCAGTTATTGTGGTGATCGCCGCTGGAACATCTGCGTACACGCCGGATTTGGTTAAACAAGTGTCCGAAGCCAGAGACAAAAATATTCGTTTAGCTACCATCACATACCCGATGATCAATCGTCTTAAGTCCCTAGACTGGATGGCTGACAAGACCGGTGGTATTTCATTCACGGTTACCGAAAACCGGTACAACATGGCCACGTCATATTTGTCTACTTACTTCAAGTTAACAAACGTTATGCGCAATATAATGGAAACGTATTATCAAGGCAACAAGGGCGATTTGCCTGTAGAAATTCATAGACGTGAATTAACCGACGATGGTCGAACTGTGGTAACGGGAAGCTTCGTTTTAGAGGACCACATGGGTGAACCGGCTAAGTTCACTGTTTATACGCACAACACGGAAAACCCACTAATCAGAGCTATCACCCTGACTAGTCCATCGCAACGGGTTTACTCGACTCGATCAGATTCACTGTTATCGCTTAAAATGCTCAGCGTACCTGCGGCTATAAACGAGGTAAATATTATTATCATAATATTTGTTGTTGTTGTTGTTATTATTATGTAGTTTATTTTTTTTTTTAAAGTTATGTTTCAATGTTAACCGAATGAGTATTTGTCGTTTTACAGACCGGAACGTGGACATACCACATCGAACGATTCCAGGGAAGTCCGCAACCGCATTACGTGCAAGTGATGGCCAAACCGTTATCGAAAAATTCTCCTGTGGTCAGAGCTAGAGCTTGGACAAGTGGAACGACTAACCCGTTGACGATTTACACTGAAGTCAAGCGCGGTGACTATCCAGTACTTGGTGCTAAGGTTGAAGTGTCGGTTATTCGACCTGGTTTAAATGGTTCAAACGCACATCGTGAAAAGTTTGATCTCTTGGACACCGGAAGTGGAGGTCAGTACGATTTGTAAAATTTGTGTTTTTAAAATAATAATAACACATTATCAAATAAAATCACAATTCTTATAATTTTGAAACATTTTTATGACATTTTACTGATTTTTCTATAGATCCGGATATCATGAAAGGCGATGGAATTTATTCGAGATATTTCAACCCGATGATTGGTGGACTCGGAGTTTATACTTTTGAGATAACTGTTTCGGATAGCAGCAGCAATGCATATACTTGGCAACACAACACCCATCGGAACATCGAACGAAATCCCGTAAATTCCGGTTAGTATTAAACTATAATAATTAAGTTTAATCAATTTATATGCCTTTACTTAACGTCATATTATTGCTTGTGCAGAATCTAACTGTTGTGGATCGTTTATGACATCTCCATCAGTGGAACAACTGAATCCCTTTCAACGGATCATCGCTCCGCTGTCTGTTACATATACTGCCGAAGATCTATCGTCATCGTCGACAAACGTTGGCCGAGTGGGTGACCTTAAAGCTGAGATTGTCAAGTCCGAATTGAAAGCCCGACTTACATGGACTTCGCCAGATATGGGTGGGAACTCTGTGGCTCGGTATGAAATAAGGTATTCGCAGTCACTTCGATCGTTACTCAATGAATTCGACTCGGCACCAGTTTGGATCCATAGTACCCCGCTACCGTTGGCTCCGGGTTCAGAGACTGCATTCTCAGTAGACATGAACAAGACTCCCGAGCTCCTAGATCAGACGCTATTCGTAGCCATCAAAGCGTACAGCCGCATTGAGTCAGATTCGATACCCGGACCTGTATCCAACTGGGTCAAAGTGTTGGTGCCATCACCACCGCCTCCGCCGTCATTGATAACTACTCACTCATCAGTATCGTCAGCTGACCCATCTTGGACATCCGCAAATCAGAACGTCATATCTGGGATCAGCCGGGACTTTGAGATGAATTACGACGTTTTGGTACCGGCTGCGGGTGGCCTGATGCTACTGGCTTTACTTTTGCTCATGTACTGTGTGTTTTGCGCTGTGAAACGCAACCGGAAACCTGAGAAGCAATCACCTAAGCCGGAAAAATCGCTTAACGTATCAGTTATACCCAACGGCAACGGCGGTGCGCTGAATATATCGTCTCCCATGAACGCAGTAAAGACTGAACTGGAATCGCATTTTGAACCTTGTCTGATCGATACGGGTGACCCGAAAAAACGTTATAGTGTAGCACAATACGGACCAACTGCGACCAACGACCATCACTATAATCTCCAACAGCAACAGCAGCATCAACAATCACATCAACAACCAAATCAACAACCACATCCTTACCATCACCAAAGTAATGGTCACCTGAGTGTTATTACCGGAGCAACGTTAACTCGTGTACCGAAACCGTTAAGTCCGTACCAATCGTGGACCGCTTCGCAGCTATTGCATGAACACGAACGCAGAACTAGTCCGTACGGTCAGATTGGTGACTTTGAAAATCAGTATGCGCCACCTGTTCCTCCTCTGCCAGCTTACCAACAACAACAGCTCCAGCAACAACAGCAGCAGCAGCAGCAGCAAACCAACGCGGAAAATATATACGGAACGGCTCCAGGCCATTTTCAGCAGCAACAGAACGGACTCCCGCCACCAGGCCAGTACAACAACTATCACCGGAACAATATGATCCTATTCAACCAGAGCCTGCAGGGATCGTTGAGTTCGGTCAGTAGCGGTGACAAGAAAAAGCGAAACATAACCATGGTATAAATACAGAAGAGAGTGAAGAAGAAGACAACGACGACGACGGAGCGTTGAAGTTAATAAGACTGACTACTTATTTTGTGTGACTTAAGTCTTCTCCGACGCTAAACGTATGTGCATGTACTGTTTGTTCTGTTTACTGGATGTTTTTATTTTTGCGGTTTCTAGTCAAATTCACTAATGTCGTAGACTAAAAACCACCATACGTACAACCAAGTTATATTTTGTTTTTTTGTTATGATCTCACTTGTTTCTTGTAAAATACTTTTGTAATTAAATTAAAATAATTTCCCCTCTTGTATAATGATGGTAATTTATAATAATAGTTATCATTATTTTACTACTACTACTACGTTCGTTAAGAACATTAGTATAAGCCTTATTATTATGAAACTGCCTCAAATCCCTAAATCGATAGGTAAACTGACAATTATTATTATTATATTAATAAGTTGTGTGTTATGCACCGTTTTGTGCCTTTTTTTTGTATATTATATTATATTATTATTTATGTGAAACATATGTAAACACGACCAAAAAATATTATATTATGTCTAGCTATTAACTAGCTATCAGTTTTACTTTAGACAAAAGTAATATTTTTTTTTTATGTCTAAAATATTTATAAAATCATATATTTTTGTATCTAAATTTAAGTTTGTTGTAGACTACTTAGAGAGTAAGCCATTGTGTACATTCATATTGATGATTTTGTAAAAATTATTATACATACCATATTATATTAAAACAATAATATTTGTGTATATTTTATTTTCATTTTGACATAAAATATAACAAAAATAAGTGCAATTTATTTTGTTAAGAGGTGACAAACTGACGGTAATATGATAATGAATTACTAACTATTATTTCTGAGAAAAAAAATAGTTTTTTATGAAAAGTAGTGTAGTTAATAATAATTAATAGTAATAAATAAGTCAATACAATAATTGTATTGGCTTATTTATTTAATAGACAATAATCTGGAATTTTGAAAAAGTCCATCGAATATTTTGAAAAATTCCATGAAACATCCTGTAAATGTATTAATAGGAAATAATAAAATACAATGAAAAATATACAAAACAATGTATTGAATTGTTTACATTTAAACATTTCTAGTTATATTATTTTAATAACTATTTTGAAATACTGTTCAAAGCAATTTATTCTAATCATTAAAAATACAAAATTTTAATAGTTATTTGTTAATAATCACTTTAATGTATGTACATCCATTTATAGGTCTCACATACCAATAATTTGTTGTATTATATCTTTTTCATCGGAATCGTCATCTAAGGCTCTTCGTTTTATTTTGATAAAATGCTCTTGTTTTGTCTGTAAGTTGTCAACGCTATTCTACAACAATATATTAGTTGATTATAATTTGTTCAATTTGTTGACATTGATATTATTTGTGAACAAAAATATCAATATTTGAATGCAAGACATAATGTTAGAGACCATTTAATTTTTAATCAGATTTTTTTGAAAAAAAAATAATTGTATTTATTAATTTGGTTTTATAAATTAACTCAATATGAACAAATTATTTTTTTAATATTTAAACCACCGGTGAAGAATTTCTAAAATGGATGAATTATACTCCTAAATAGAATATAAATTGAAATATACTAGACTATAATGATTAATACACATGTTCAATTTTAATTTTAATAAAATAATAAACTGTATGACTATTATGATATATAAACAGTTACCTATATTTAAAAATAATATAAGCATATATATTACCTTGTATGATTTCAAAGACCGCATCCATCTATTTCCTGTCCCTTGAGAATGGTCTACATTTTGAAAGTTTTTCGGTTCAAGCGTATCATTACCTTTATTAATAATAATAGAAAAATAAATGCATTTAATTTTAAATTCTATAACCCATTTTTATTTATACCTGCACTATTTTTAGGGGAAAAAAAATACTCAAACCACTAAAATAAACTGCAAATATTTTTAGTGAAATTATTTTTTTTAAATAACTTGTTGCAGGAATATCAGATTAATAAAATGCTTAATTCATTAAAAAAAAATCTATATACAAATCATTAAATTTAATTCTTTCATTAGATAAGTTAAAAAGTACATTTTATATTATTTCTAAAGAAATGTCCTAAACATTTAACTCATCTGATTGTAATAGAAATTATGATGAAATATTATTGAATATTTTTCATATAAGAATGTTACAATTATTTGATACTTGACCATTTGTCAATTTCTATATTATGTATTAATACAATACATTGAAATAATTATAGTTATATAGAACTATTATATGATTATTGAATTAATTGTTTTATTTCGTCGAAGAATTGTTTAATACTTACACCTTACAATATATTTATTTATTGTTTAATATTTTTAAGGGGCTGTGCAATAACAACTATACATACATTCATGTAACTTTAAAAAACTACAATAATTTAGGGATTTTTACAGTTCTTCATGGTATTTGAAACGTTTAAGAACTTGTACTTAAAATCTTAAAGGAATAAAATCATAATAAATGGTACCGAATTCATGATTTTTTAGACCCCTATGATCGGTATGCAGTTATTAACAACATTATTAAAAATTAAAATGTTCGTATATTTTTTTTTATTTTTTTAAACTTGTGATTTGTGGTAGCGGCGGCACCTTTGTGGCGAAGGCCTGTAGACTGTAATCTATTCAGCTTGTTCATAAATTTGGTCCTGATAAATAATTAGTAAAACTATTGATTTCAAAAACCAACAATTGTTATTTATTCCACTAAAGACGATGAGAAAAAAAAACAATGACAATTTTCCAAAAACATAACGTAAGTAATAATGTTACTCACCGACTTTAAACACCCACGAGCCGTCAATAATCTGATTTTTGAATCCCCAAGATATATTTCCATTCGGCACCACCGAAGTTAACCACCAGCTATTGGGAGGCGAGGAAAATGAAGTGTACTTCCATTTGATCGGTCCATCCATTTTAGTTCTAAACCATCTGACCGACGCCAATACGTTTTCATATTGATCGGAGTACGAGAATCCACCGCCGGTTATTTCTGTTCAAAATATATAAATACTTATTTTACTATTTGAAGTAAATAATCGTATCGACAGTTATGCGCAAGCCTTCAATTGTATTGGACTTAAATTTTAAGAAATTACTAAAATTTAAATTCACATTTTTATAATGCGACAGATAAACAGAAAATTAAAGGATTAACATTGCGTTCTGTAAGCAGTGTCAGTCCGCGGCGGATAGAAAACTCATAGTTAGTTTACTACACATAGAACTTATGAGTATGTGGTAATATTTTTAGTTACTTAATAAATCACCATTGAGTAATTTGAATAATTTAATCAACGTCAACTCCATTAAAATATTCTAAAAGTAGTCTATAATTTAACTGACTTCAGAAAGTCCTTTTTCTATTATAATATAATATAATGGCTTAGTAATAATTATGTTGACAGACAATTTTATATTTCGTCTTTTAATGTGATTTTATTTGTATTGCACAGTCAACATCCATTAAGATTGCAACAATTGAATGTTGTGTGTTTTGTTCTTGGTTACACGCACACACACACTTTGTGTACGAACTAGGCAACCGCCGTTTATTGTTTAATGTTAATATTTTGATAAGAAATTAATGAATGGACAAAGAAATGTCACTAACCTACATCAGAAATAAATGATAATTCACTTATTATTTTCCTAACGAGGCACGAGTATAGTTTTTAAGTTTTTATACATTAATAATGTATTTCTTCACGAAAATTGATGTGCAACTTTTTATAATAATGATCACATCTATTATATTTTTATGATAACAGGCAATCAACATTATACCCTATTGGCATGGGCGTAACTAGGATTTTAATTAGCGGAGGAGGGAAGGGCAGTTGATAACCTTAATTTTTTTGCTTTTTCCATATTTTATAGTAAAATTTACACTTTCGGTATAAGAAATAGAATTGAGTTTGAAGCACAAAGGGGAGGGGGAAATTCCCCCTACTACACTCTCGCTACGCCCATGCCTATTGGTCATAGTCATTTTTAAATATGACCAGTTAATGGTTAAGTATAAAAAAAAATTTTTCATTTTTTTTTTTTTTTAATTTAACATCATAATTTACTTAGTGAATGAAAATTAGCAAAATAATAAAAGTACATTCAAAAACATTAAAATGACTTAATGAAACTACTAATGCTAGATATAATTATAAATTTAAATATGATATCGACATAAGAGATAAGTACAGCAATTTTGTATTTTACTCAAAGTGTACTTATTGTTTGTGGCCTTGTAGATTCTCTATTATAATATATATATATGATATTATAATTTTGTACGTTTTCGTTCATTATCTACATGGAAAACAAAAATTACTACAACACAATGTTTAGTCATCTGCATAGTGAAAAGAGTTCAAAGATCTATAGAATTTTCAGCACACCTTATATTGTTCAATTAATAATATATTATGTATTATAATTTATAAATTATATATTAGACTCGTTGGTATACGTAGTCGTATATAAGTAAATAGGTAAAACAATTTTACTTAAGTTAGAAAAAAATTTAATAGTCTGAAAATTTTTTGATTGTAATAGCTATAAATATAGACATTATTGATTTATATCAAGTTATTTGTATGTATTGAAAAAGTAATAACTTTACAAAAATAATATACTATGTCGATACTCGATAGTCAAATATTACCGATTGATGCGTCTTAACTCTTAATAATATTTTAAAAATTATTTTTGTTTGTTAATTTATTTTAATGGAAAAAATCTTCATTCAGTGAAATCTATAATTTGGTTTTTATGCATACTTATACTTATCGAATATTGATATCCCATTTGAAATGATTCATTTCATGCGAAAGCTTTTTTGTGTGGTGACGGTGTGTACAGTCTTTATTTCTGAGAATATTCTTAACTATTATGCATTACTGTTGGTAATTTATTTTTAGTTTCCATATTAGTAGTACGATATGTTTAACTGTTTTCTGACAATAACGTCACATCTATTATAATATTAACTAAAAATTTTTAATAATATTATAATATCTATCGCCATTAATAAAAAGTACCCATCAAAATATATACGAAAGTTTTACGTATTTATATTTTTAAATTCCAGAAAATAATAATAATGAGGAGTCATATACTTATATAAATTTCGAGTATCTATTAATAGTACAAAAATTCTAGTTTACGTTTCTTTATTCTTAATTACAACAAAAATAAAACATTAAACCATTGTTCTCAAAAACTGGTTTCGTTAAGAATTTAAGTAATGTAATAATATCTGAACATTCAATTTAAGTATTAAAAATTGATAATATTGCATGTATCAATCAAAAAAACTATTTAATTATTTATGATAAAAATTTCTTTTTAGTTTTTACGTACATATTAAATATAAATCAATGTTATGTAATATGTATTTTAAGTTCATTGCTATTGCCTATTGAATTGCGCATTAGTTGTACGATTGTGGTGTAATTAAACTAATTTATGATAATAATACTTTAAACGTTTAAAAAAACATAAAGTATAAGAAAATTGTTATGTATGTTATTGAATTTGTTTTAATATACGTTTCTGTTAATTGTCACAAACTATAAAATAATTAAATTAATAACAATAATTTTGTTGTAATATACCTATCAACTAGACACATTTGTTTTTATATCATTTACGAGAATAATTTGCATAAAATAAAAAATATTTTTGTTTCTGCTATCATTTCTACCAAACATGTCTACTATTTTTTTTTATATAAACTTAATTAAACCGTTGGATAGAGATATACATAATGTTATTATTTTTTTTTTTTTTATTATTATTCATCACAATCACGACGTCTGTCTCTAAATACTTATTTTAAACTTTTCTGTTATTATCTCTTGTACTTATTTCTTCACAGATTGTACAACAAAAAATAAACGACAAAAAAAAAAAAAAAAATTATTATTCATAACTCATAAGATAGAAAGACAAATATTAATATCACTGCCTCACAACTAGATAATATGTTAATTACAATAAATATACAACGGATAAGATGACTAAATACTTAATAGTTAATACCTACATTAATCATCATTGTAATTTATATTTAAAAATAACAGATATTTTATGCTATTTATAATCTACTTATCAAACCGGAACAGTTTTTTTTTTTAATGGTATTTTGAGTTGAAGGTTAATAATATTGTTATAAATTAACAATATTAATTCAATGGCATATACATGTTTATAGTTGGAGATTTCCAGTAAAAAAAAAACTCGTAGTTAAATTAATTTATACACGAATAATTACACTCAGTAATTCTAACCCCAAACTTTATAAAATTAAAAATAGCATACCTATACGGTATAGAAGGTACTCGTAAATAATATAATTATACACGTACATGTATAATGTATACATTCACTCGAAAAATAAAATAAAGAGAACGACTTATAGCTTTACAAAATTATTAAAACGTAACGAAGTATCTATTTAAGTATATAAAATATTAAATAATATTATCGAATTAACCTTGAAATTATTAAATTGAGTTCCTATATACTATTACTTATTAAAATATATAGTTGTGTTATTATTAAGTATATATAAGATTATTATTACTCACCTTCTTTATCAAGCGTTACTCTTAATCTGGTATCCCAGAAGCCGCTTGCTGAGTCCCTCCAGGTCCATCTTACCATCATGTACGAGTCAGTGACGGTATTGTTGAAGAACGACACACCACCACTACCAGGATCAGCTCTGTTGAGCACCCAAGGAGGTGACTAAAACATTGTAATTATTTATTTGTAGAGCGACAATTTTTTTTTTTTTTTTTTGTACGAATTTTTAACAAATTAATTATTCTATAATATTTATTAACAATAAAATTACAATAATACATTACGCACTTCGCTACCAAAAACGACGTCAAATAAAACGAGCAACGCCAATGGAAATGTGTTCGTCATCGCGGCTAAATCAACTCTAAAATAACATTATTATTATTATTACTATTAGTAGTAACTGTGTATTATATATTACGACTTTAATGGTAGTGTTGGGGGGGAAAATCGAACCTTGGAATAGTAATAATTTATATCGTATGTTTTGTTTATTTTATTATTATGGTGTTATTATTTTTTTTTAAAGAATCAGATTATATACCTGGTCATTTGTAGATATAGATCCATCGATTTGATAACATTATAATACTGTACTATGCAGTAACTACTGGTTACATTATTTTAAGGTTACAATGCCAAAACTCTGAACGGTTCAGTTACCATGTACAACGCATATGCAGAATGGACAGCAGACCATTATATAAGATATTTTTATGATTAAATTAATAAATTAATTTACCATGTATAGTTTTGGGATATTAATTATTATTGTGACATATAACTTGTGAAATACGACGGTAAACTTGATAAACAATTGTAAAGTTATATTACGGTCGGTCAATCTGTGACAATCATATCACGATATACGTAATACAACGCAACTTATACCCGCGTCATCCCGAAAATTTTCGATTAAATAATATATATTATACAACAAATGTACGAATATCATATTTCTTTAGAGATTATAACAAAAATTTATCTATATTTTTTTTATTAATATGCTTCATAACTATTTAATTTAACACTAGGGCTAGGATTTTATGCAATAAAAATATGCTGAAATATACCACATAAATATTATTAAATAAGCACATTTTTTTTTTTCAAATTACTCTAAATAAATATGTTTAAATAAGACAATAAAATACGATAAAATGAACACTTAATACAAAAACATTAAAAAAATTCTAAAATCTATAAATTTATCTGTTGTTTTTAAATTTATTTAAGCTATTCAAATGAATTACGTGAAACAATAATACGGTGCTTTAAATTTTCAAAAGTAAACGATCTTCTGTTTGACCTTAATACATTTTTATATTTTCTGAGACTTCGCTCGACATCACACGACATAATTTTCGCATATTTAAATTTCGTTACTTCTCCAGGAGTTTTATTTGGGAAATCTTCATCTAGATTGCTACCGCATTTAAAATGTTACGTATTATAAATATAGATTTTAGTTCAGTTTTTTTTTAACACATTTTTTAATTTGTTGTCGATTTTTTCAGCAATGGGTCCTTTGTTTTGACTAAGTTTAAATTTAATTTTTTTAACGATTTCCAAATTCTCGTCGAGTAAAAGTAAGAAATTTTCTAATTTTAAAATAGATTGAGTGATAAAGCCAAAGTTACATTTTATAAACTCTAAATTTCTATTTTCAAATATAGCATTCTTTATTAATTTCGTAGAACTTTCTTCTAAGAACAAAAGCACCAATTTTATTGAGTTGAGATTATCAGCATAAATATGATGTAATTTCTAGCTAAGTTTCCCATTGGGTAAGTATAGGTTGTTGAGGTAAAGGTAATTCTGATTATAATTCTTGAAATTTACGAGTAAACACACGACTCGGAGCTTTTAAAAATACTTTTTTCACACAACTCATCATGTTATCAATATTTAGATACTCCATAATTATACCATAAAACGTGCATTTTTTGCGTTTTTGTAGTTAAAATATGCAATATTATTCATTTTTTTCAAAATATATAAAAATATGCAAAAACATGTAAAAAAAAAAAAAAATACCACCATTTACCTCGTCATGAGCTGATTTACGGACATTATTAACAAAATTAGTAATGAAAATTGACAAAGAAAACATACCAATGCATATAAATCCTAGTAATAACTAAAAAGTATTTGAAAAATACACATAAAAAAGTTAGTTCAATAAAAAAATTGGTTTTTCTGTTTTTTAGTTATTGAAATGTTTATATTAAAGATTACAATACATAAAAGTTAAAAGTGATTTAACAAAACACAAAAAATGTATTATCAGATATAATAGTTATTTATTATACTTTATAAATTATAAATTAATTTTGAAAGATAAGAATAAATTACTAAGATTTTTAAATTACCATAATTATAATTCCCATATCTTCCATCTTCCAAACTCATTATCATGGATCTATTATCATATTATTGTTAGTATATAAAGTTAAAGAGAGATTGAGAGAGTTTATATCTATACAAGATATTCCTTAAATAGAACAAAAATTTCAAGTCTCTGTAAATATAGTTTTTAAGTAGGTGCATAAAAAAATATCAAAAATCAGATTTCCAATAACTGCTGTATTTCGAAGAAGAAAAAGAACGATAACATACTTGGTGAGTCACTCTGTATAAATGTATAGTTTATTAATTATTATTACCTATTTAAACGTTTATTGTAATCCGATAGTTAAGTAAATCTTACAGTTTATAAAGTTTATAACATACAATTATTGTGTTAAATAACAAATTAAAGTATTTATCATATTTATTATGTATTTAAGTACTATAGAAGGTATACAAACAATATGGTGATGACTAAACCAGATTAAAAATTCCAAAGAATTTAAAAATACAATCTTTCGGTATATTTAAAAATTCCAAAAATAAAATTATAAATAATTACATTATCGAACTAAAAAAAGGGGTGATTGTACTTGTTGAATCATTCTGTAAATATATTTTTTAATTTTAAAATGTTATCATGTTTTATTTAAAAATATCACAATAATGAAATATCTAGAAATGTTTCGATACCAAGAATTTTACTTAGATACAGATTACGACAAGATTAAGCTGAAACTTACCAAAACGAGTCTCGAAATTTGACATTATTATAATTTAATATAATGTTTAATTATTTTATTATACTGGATGTCTATCCTATTTTCTCCATCTAAGTAATATTATGTATACACTATAGAACGAAAGTAAATGTGTATTACCATGATAATTATAACAAATGAGTAACAAAATACTAAATAATGATAAATGAAATATATTTCAATGAAATGTGATTAAATAACAAATAATAAATAATTTTTCTAGTAATTTCGGCGAAATTTTGGTAACGATATAGTATGAATTCACCACATGCTGTGCCACAGTGGTGCGAATAATGTTTTAAATTGAATAAGCTTTAAAAATGGAATATTGAAATAAAATTCATATTTGCCATTCTACCTCATTTAACGGTTTTCATAGGTTATGTAAGATTTATGTTAGGGTTGATGATTGATTTTTAAAATATATTTTTGTAATATACCTTTCAAATATAGTACATACATATTACATACGTACAGCTCAAGTTGTATTACTGTTATATTAAAAAATAATAATGATTATGTTGTAGTTAAAATTTAATTGAAAATATGCGTCTCCGGTATCGAGGGGTCTTCAAAATAGTGTCCCCGTCACGTCACATATAATATAGTACTATATATTATTTATAGGTTCCTTGGAGGCATAGATAAACACGATAGTTATTCATACGCTTTCTTACAATTAATATAAAAGATTAGAAAATAATCTACAGTATGATAATTTAAAATAATTAAATATATTAAATTATTCATCAATGAATTAAAAGTATAACAATAAATGTAAGTATATGTACATTATAATCATAAAAAAATTCTGTCCTGGGTAATCATCAGTATAAAATATAGATAGAACTCTGATGGTAGGAATGTACGTATGTTGTCATGAAAATTATGCCAATTATGCGTTCTCAAATCAATTTTTTACAATTTAGTGCACAAAATAAGTTTTTATTATTAAAAATTAAAAGTTTAATCAAATAGGCTGTGAAGTTAGTAGCCGTTTTATTTTTAATATGATTTTACGACAAAACATAAATGGTTGGATACATATATTAATATAACTGTTTTAAAAATTATAATTTGTTTATAAATTATACTTAATTAAAATTAGAATATTGTCATTAAAAATTAATACTATGCTGATCATTTTGTTTTTAGTTACCAACACGAGATACAGTTGTAAAACCGTAATAACTGCATAAAAATATAAGAATAAATTTGCTACTTTCGCCTTACTTATATGTTTACTCTCTCGTGACATATGTGTACCCGAATAGTCTATCCGTAACGCCGTTTCACTATAATTATTTTATTATTAAAAATTAAAAAATATACATTAACATGAATTTGATAACAAATATTATTTTATTATCAAAGTGCAATCAGAAGTAGAACAAATAAAATATATAATATAAATTAAATAATACGACATTACGACAATCTCCGATATCATTCCCTATGAGGCTAGAAAATAAAAAACCTAATTAAATTTTATTATACCTGTATAATGATATTAGATTAGGGTGACCATATTATGAAAATAAAAAAACGGGACATTTGTTTATTCCTCCCCGGCACCTCCCCCCACCAAAAAAAGAAAACCCTTCTATAAAAATTCACACATAATATGCTGTATATTGTAAAAATACAAATCTAAGTCATACCACAAAAAATTATTTTCTTAGTAATTTACCATTTTTTGAGTAAATAGGCATAAATAATATAAGTGTTTAAATATTATAATTTTTTAAACAATTAAACAATTTATACGTTGTTACTAATACTGATACATAAAAAATAAGAATTAGGAAATTATTAAAACATCAGCTTTCTACATTATTCGTGAATTTGATAATCCTTCTTTCACATTTTCTACTATTTTTTCAAATTTTTCTGAAGAACTTATCGAACTTCACAATTTTGAGCAGTCCAAAAGAAATTTATGAAATTGTGAACAAGTTAAAGTGCTGTTTTTAAATAATTATTAATATAATGGTTTCAACATTAAAACGGTTTTTTCAATTGTCCACAATAGGTACATTTGTTATTGAAAATATTCTTTCTACAAATGCATTTGTTCCAAGAATAACTAAATAATTGTTGAACAGGTGTTAAAAGAAATTTGATTTTTTTTTTCATGCATATATTATAATATAATATAATACAATAATAATAAAAGATTATATTTATTTATTATAATTAATTATCATTGGATTCAAATTTAACAGATAAATAATCGTGACCTACTAAAAAGCAGAACGTTACTTACTTGACTGCTCTTTATTTAATTTTCACTAGCAACAAGGTATGATAAACCTTGTATGAAATTTTTAAGAATTTTATCAATATTTAAATAAAAAAAAAAAACTCATTATTGTAAAGTCAGTACATTCATCGCTCCGCTCAGAGTCTAAAATATATAAAGGCTAAAACAAACCTGAATTCATTACAGCTCGATTTCTTATCAATTTGACTGGAGTAGTGTCAATAGTTTCATTTACAGGCATTTCTAAATAAATATTAAATAAGTCATAACACTATACAGTATACATAAATTATATTAACTTAAAATTTACCAGCGATAGGACTATCTTCGACGTTCCACGACCAAGATTTTGGTGACTTATTTTTAACTTGGTCGGTTGAAGCACAAGAAATTAAACCATCTACGATAACAGTTGAATATACTTTTTAAATATTTTAAATAATTGAATCGTAAATTATAGTTCAAGTATGTGTAATATATTTAACATACCATTTAGATATTTTTTTGGGACTGCATTAGGCATAAG